TTCCTTAGCACGGCAAAGCTAGGCTGAGGGAGTAAAAATCTACAAAAATCCCTGTGCACAGGAAAAAAAAAAAAAAAAGAAAAAAAAAGAAAAAAGAGCTCTTGTGCGAGCACGCTGCAAGGCTTTGTATGAAGGCACTGTTTTGCAACATCAGAGGAAGTTCGCTCTCATTGATAAGGTGGCAGTTGGTAAACCATCTCACCACTAAAAAACTCCAAGAGTGAAAGGGAAATCCCCAGGGTAAAGCAGAGCTGAAGCAAATGCCAATTATAAAGGACCTTCCTTCACATGCATAGCCAATCAGGTCAACAGAACACTGGAAAGGAAACTTGAATTTAAAAATATATTATCTGGTTTGCAACGCTGGAGCCCGGGGGCAACCACATTTTATTTATATGTGCATACAAATATATTTAAATAGAACCAGGGGGGTATTTTTCTCAAGAATACACAAGGTTTTAGCCCCCGTAACTCCCTTGAAGGCACAGTTCCCACTTGTTCAGAACTGTGTAGAGTTGCCCAAAAATAACTGGAGAGAAATATCAGTTTGCCTATAAAACAAAGTGAGTTTTCAACTGATTTAAGAATTCATTATTTCCACTAGACTCCATATCTCTGTTTGGGCAGGGTGTGTGTCTGAAAGGGTTAACAGTCCCAGTGACTTTATCAAAGATCAACACTGGGGAATTTCTAGAAGATCTGCACGCTGCAACATGATTTTCTATCCTCCTGAATCTATTTGGCTTCCCTCATCATCCGACACACTTTTAGATGGTATTTAATGGCGCAGGAATCACCTACTGCTGTTGAGTAGGATTCAGCTATCAGTTTAAGGCTGTAGCTGAAACGCTGAAACTCTCCTTCGCACAAAGCAAATCCCAAAGTTCACAGAAGTCAGCACAATTTTGGTGGTGCTTCTTGGGAGGGCGATTGAAATAAAGTTCAACTGAAATTTAGCTAACGAAGCTGGTTGTGCTTGTTTGGAGACTTGCTGCTCATCACTTACATTCTCTTGTAAAGACATTAAATTTATTTGAAATTAAATTAAATAAAGCATAAACACCAAATTTATGAGTTTAAATCTTTGCATGTGCAGCAAGTGAGACTATAAACAATTCACGCAGTTATGTCACTACTTTTCCTGGAGGCAGTAAGGCTTCGTCAGTGGTCTGAATACTTTTTTTGTACTGCATAAGAAAAAGAAAAACTAACAGACTTGCCACTGTCACTTATACCTGCAGAAATACTCCGATGTACTAGAAAAGGAAGGGAAAAAATGAAGCTGACAACTCTAACATTTCTCAGACAAACTTTAGTAATACATTCAAAATTTCTTGGGCCTTATGGGATTATATAAATTACAGAACTGCCAGTAACCAAACTGCCTCCAAAAATCCTACCAGCAGCTACCCTCTGGCTTTTATCTCATGACTATCAATCGCTGCTTGAGCTACCTTTCATAATTTTGCCTTTCTGTTTCGTATGTATGGGGGAATAGTATTAATCACATGTGTAGTCCACAAGGGCTTACTCGTGACAAAACGTTACTTGTGGAAATGAAGGATCCTTTCTCTGGAAGAGGAGATTTTATCCTACGTATTCTATAAAAACCACAATAAATCCAATGATCCCTTTATTGCTTATAGGGGCCTAGAAGAAAGAGGCAGTGTCTTTTACATCACGCAATCAGTCTGTAACGAGATTTGAAAGATAAGATGTTACGATCATAAAAGACAGGCTGTGCGTACGTGCACAGCAATCAAGTATCTATTCATTCAGTTTGTTTCCCCTCCTAGTCAAGACTAAAACACTGAAGTCTTGTTATTACCATGCTCCCTGTGATACTGCTTTCTCTGCTGACCAAAGCAGGAACTGGAGCAACACAGCCTAAACATGTCAAGTCTTGAATTGTTCTGTTTCCTGTTAAAGGCTCGGATGAAGACAGAGACTGAAAATTACCAGAAAACAACCGAGGATGGACATTGAACATTGGCAGTCACGTTTAACTTCGATCCTTGCTCAAAATGGTCGGTGGTTAATAGATTATCAACCTTAGATCCAAGCAAAAAAAAAAAAAAAATAAAATACTGAAAACACTTTCCCCTGAGTAGCAGAATAGTGTTCATGATGTAGCCCCGTGGGTTGGCTGCCCTGATAAAGACTACTGGGAAAAATAAACAAATGACCCAAACGAAAAAAAGGTTAAAATTATAGAATTTAAGTAGCTAAGGAAGTTATTGCCTGAAGTGAATAGCAAGCTAGACTCAGGCATCTGAGCAATTTGCAAAATTCTGGTAAGTACTCCTTTAGACTGTTGAGCACAGAATTAAGAAAATAAAATTAAAACCTTAGTTTATATTCCTCTTTTTCACTGAGCCCTGAAAAACAGGGGTGGAAGTGGTTTAGTGCAAACTTTACTAGGAATACTGAAAATTAAAATAAAAACAAATTAGATTTTCCCCATTCAACCAAAATAAATTACTCAGCCCTAAACTGAAGCGGATTAAAAAAAAGTTAAATATGTTAATAAGCACTTTCTGTGTGAAGAGACCTGCAGTTAGAATTTCACCCTTATTTTCTACTCAACTTTTCAACCATGCCTGACTGGTCCTGATCAACCAGCTGCACTGCTAAACCCCAGGTCAAACCCATAGGCAATCAAGAGGATAACATCTTTGTCCTGGGCTACAGCCTCTCTTGAGCAGGTTGGCCAAGCTCAACTGCAATTTGCTTAGCAATTCACCTGCCGCGCTGGTTACCGCTCTGGAAGGAATTGAAATTCTGTTCATTACCCTCCCCTGAAGGAAGTGACATTTAAACAGTGCTAACGTCCAGCCAGTGTGCCCTCCTAATTCCCCCCAGCATACTGGAGTCATTTGGTTCGTTTCAACCAACTCTACAGGGTTTCAAGGATATGAAATTCCCAGAATCTTAGGGAAAAAAATATTAGGGGACTGGGTGGAGACAAAAGCACCTAAAAGAATACACCACTGGAGGGAAACCGCCATCTGAGTGATCTGTTATACCTAGCCCCACAGCAAGCAGGATGGGCAACAGATGTGTGCTTTAGAGGCAGCCAGAGCTTGTCTTACCTCTTGCTGAAGTGGAAGTATGAGGGGGAGAAATTGGCAATACTTGGGAGGACAGCAGAGCGGTTGCAGGGACCACAAGGCAGAAACTGGTGCTACTGAAGTGTGTGGGCAGTGGAAAAGCGGTAGAGACAGATCCGCAGGAAGCCAGGGCTGATAGTTCTGCTGTTAGGAAACAGCTTGGCTAAGCACAAGGAGTGGCTTGGACCCGCTGAGATCAGTTATCCCACCTCAGGGTTCACGCTTTGACCACTACCAGGTACATCTAAATTTGTACATTTTTCTCAGAAGGGCAGCTGTGGAATAATTGGTCTCCTCAAAGTTTGTTCAAGTGGCTTTACAAGTCAAAGTCTCAGATTATGCTACATATCCTGACATTGTAGTATAGACATTCTCCTCATCCATTTCAATTTCTGAAATTCAGAAGCCTTCTATTGATGAAAAGGAAACAGAGAGTTCAGAAGACAAAGGATTTTGGGGGAAAAGGGGATAACCCCAGAGGTAAATGTACATTCTACAAAAGATCTCATGGATGCAATCTGCGTGGGTAATGTATGGAACAAATTTTTTAAATTGCTTTACCCTGCCTTCATGCCCCCAACAGAAGAAAGGAAAAATTGTCTTTTCCTCTTTTAAAACATTATCATCAACACTCTCCACTTACACAACCTGCACTTAGAACAAATGAAAATAAATCCTCTCACTACAAACCAGAAACACAAATTCCCAGGCACATTTAAGTATCCCCAAAAATTCACATCGAAAGCTGGGGGCTACGCTCCCCTAGGGACAGCAATTATTCAGCACAGGACTGTGCAGAACACTTTGGTCCCTGCCTCCAGAAGCACACTGCAAAGCTAACACGCAACTTGCTCGAGCACCAGAGAACATGAAACTCATTCCTAGTTCTTAGCCAGTAGCACTGATGCCCAGAATACACAAAGCAGCTTTGAAGTAAGTTTGCCTCCCTCACTGATGAAAGTATTCAACAACAGCATTTCAATTGCACAGTACCTGTTTTTCTGGGTCACTCTTGCTAACACACACATTCATGCGCATAGTTTAGAAATCTTTAATGGTGAAGCACGCGTAAATTTATGTGATTAGAATAAAATCGCATAATTTTACACAACAGTTGCAAAATCGGTTGCTGATGTCTTTCGCTTTCTGCCCTACTGGTTACAGCTGGCAGGCAGTGCTAACGAGCATAATGGAACAGGGGCTGGGTAAGGTTGCGAAATCTTCATTAAGAGACACTCAAAGCTTGGCTGGACAAGGTCCTGAGCAACCTGCTCTAACTGGGCGTGGGTTTGAGTGGGAGGACAGACCAGATGGGCTCCGGAGGTCCCTTCCAACTGCATTTTTCTACTATTCTGTGATAACCAAACTTCCCCTGTCAGACGCCAAGCAAGCAGCCCCAAAATTTGTCTTGCAACTAGGTACAATTCCTTCCTTCACCTACCTGCACTTAAACTGCTCCCAGACAAACTAACAGCCAACTTTATCAGCTGTATTTGTCAACACAGCAAACTGACCAAACGATCTGTCACTACAGCATACAGCAGTAGCAGATCCAGGAGATCAGGTGTTGTTTTGCCCTAGACTGGAGGGTGGGTGTATTGATGTTGGGAGCAGTTTTCACTTCTGCCAAGCACTTAAGGAACCAAAGCTGGGATCTGCAGCTGAAGTAACAGAGCATTACTGTCATTCAAACAAAATGGAGAGAAAAAACCCCCAAACCCAAATAAAAGGTGTATGCAATAGTAATGAAAGCCAGAGAGAGTAGTTCTGATCACAGAACTTACATAGAAGCAATCTCAAAGATACACCTGGTTCAAAATTTCCATCTATAAATACAACCAATCCCACCTGTCGTTCTTCCTCAAGACGTATTCTCTCCTCTTCTTTCCGCCTTTCCTCCTCTCTTTTTGACTCAAGTTTTTTCCGTTCTTCTCGCTCTGCTTCTTCAGCCTAAAAAAACCATGCAAGCCAAGCCTTATTCTTCCTGAATATACATTATTTTTTAAATTCCATATTGTGATACCATGGGGGTGAGGGTTCTTACTATCTTCCTAGATACATGTTCAGAAAGAAACAGTAAAGAGAATATGAAAAAAAAAAGTCATTATCATTTAACTCCCCCTCTCCTCCCTAATCTTCAGCAAACTTAACACTGTGATAAGTTTAGAACTTACCCTTCTCACTTGCATGATCTGTATCTCCATAAGGGTTTAAGGTTGGTAAATGCATATGAGCTTATTACTATATTGTGATATTATATATGTGTGTGATGTTACTATAAAAGTGATATTAAGTAATATTGTGTCATGGCTTTCCATTTCTCCTCACTTAAAATTTAGTTAGAACGGAGTCTAAGGAGAGGAAGAAAAGGAGAGGGGAATATAAACTTTGTAAAACCAAGTACATTTGAATTTATCATTAACCTGGACAGAATCTCTTAAAGAAAATGCTGTAACGGTCTCTTCAAATCATTTTATCATTTGTTTTTAAAAAAGACCGAGTAAAGATATTGTTGCAAAATGGGGGGGGAAAAAAAAATAAAAAGAGGGCATTTACCGTATTGTTTAGAGATTTTTTTTCTAAATTTGTTCTTCAGTCTCTTCGGTATACTTAAATTTGAGACTATATTAAGAGAAGAAGCAAAAGCCATTCAAACAGAGTCTTTGTGGCTTTGAATGTTTCAGCCAAAAAGTCCTGAGGAATTTATCTGTCTACATGGGAAAATAAAAATCAGCATGTTTTAAAATGAAACAAAAGATTCCTCATTCCACCAACTGATGCTTATCTAGCTTCAGTCAACTTTGCTCATATTTTCCACAAAAAAGAGGCTAATTAAGTAGAATGAATATGGAAAGTAATGACAAAATGGTTAAAGCACAGAGTGAGTGAGAAAAGGATTGTAATGGAAGTTTACATATAACATAATCATCATGTTTATCACCAACTGCCCTATCTACAGAGCATGCCGCTACAGTATGAAGCAGAAACTGGATTTAAACCTCCAGTGACACTAACATTCTCAAGATGGGATTTCACTGGCTTTGTTTGCACTCTCTATACATTAGAAATGTTAGTAGTTTCATAAACCTTGCCTTTTTGTAAAACGTGTGAAGTCCACAGTGCACTCCAGCCTCCGTTATGCAAAGGCTGTTTAAGTTTTATCTACTCCTTGCAACCCCACGCCTTCCAAGTTACAGAACAATACAGGGTCACTTTGGAAAGTAAGTTTCAAAAAGCCTGTTGCTTCCCTGGAATTAACAGCAAAATGCTGGGCAAAACTGGAAAAATACAACAGCATTTAAGTACTTTTGCACACAGATTTAAGAAAGAACAACGGAAAAGCTACGGCATGTTCCCTCTGTATAGTTGGTCTCTGTTTAAGGGCCAAACTTCAACCAAAATCTGACTGCATCATAGATTTCAGTGGATTACAGGGTCTGCTTTTCATCTCCCCCAATCCATAAAAACAATAAACATGGCTAAACATAGATAAACCCACACAAAGTTTTTGCACGATAAGAGCACATGAAACACTGCTCAGAACTGCCCACAGTTTTGGTTACAGACCCAGCGTTACAACAACAGTATGTGGGTTTGAGCGTATTTTTAAGGGGAGACAGTACTGACATTAAGCTGCAAGGCAGTGGAAACATCCAATAAAGAGCATTTCAGAGTTTTAACTCCTCTCTCCTCCCCACAAGAATACCAGAGAACCTAACGGAAAGAAAACGAGACACCATTTTCCATGGCCCTCTTGGGATACAACGTAAAAAGCTGAATTTACATTTTTAAAACAGAACCACAACTATTGTAGTGATGACACTGCCTTTGCCTCTCTGGGGTGTCCATCATCACCAGTTCTTTGCTGAGTACGGCTATGCAGGCTCTGCTCTGGGCTTTATACGTGGCAGGAAATGCTTACCTCTCTCTGTGCTTTTCTGGCTTGTTTCTCTTCTAATTTCCTCTGCTTCTTTGCTCCGATTTTCCCAGACACCTGAAATTCTGGCACATCCTCAGCATCATCTTCCTCTGCAACATTGCGTAAATGAGAAATTTTAAATCATCCATAAAAAAAAAGTCCCTTCGAGAAACTTCAGTGCTTCCTAGGAAAGCAGCAGCAGATGAAAAGGGGACACACATACATTTCAGACAAGACCTATTAGATGGAAAAAGGCAAAAAAAAAAAAAAAAAAAAGACAGACTGCCAAAGCCACAGAGTAAAAGTAACAAGGCAAACATACACTCAAGCGAAGTCAGAAGTAAAAATTTACTTGGTCTTTTGAAGGAAGGCTTTTCATAAACATTTCCTTAAAAACTACACTTTTTCTTATACATAAAAGATGTTAACAGTTGTCATTATATATTGCCTCACCACTCACCCGCACAGACTTTATTCCCAGTTACCTTTAAGCTTAGTGCAACAGACATCCATTCAAAAGTGGGATTCAGAGGGATGCCACCCATCCACTAGTTCTAGCCTGACAGAACTAACCTTTAAGGGAGGAGGGGGAAGAAAAAAAAAAAACCAAAATCCTGCGATGCAAATCGTGGGCTCGACGACAACAAAACTACACGTAAATAGTTCCCTGTTGTATGACAATTGGTTGTTTATGAAGAGGATTTCTGCAACTGTGAAATATGAAAGTGTCATGCTCAAATGGTGTGCAAATGCATTATATTTCTGCTCGCCCAGGAGCTAAGCTAGACTAAAGGGCTTTTAAAGACTGCCATTTCCTCCCCCCTTCCCAGACCAATGTCTCATGAACATTTGGCCACTTTATTTGCTGATCTAAATGAGTCCTTGATCCTACAACATAAGTACTGAGGATTGACCTCCATGCTCAGAGAGAAATCATTAGGTCACTTCATGATAAAGAGATTCATGCGTCTGAATCAGATGGCAGAAACAAAAGGAAAGATCTTTATCACACAGATCCCTTTTTCAGGTAAAGTAATTCATACTTTGAGCATCCACAATGTTGTTATGCTTGATGCTGACTTCAGATCCACACACCTGAAGTCCACTGGGTAATCGGAAGATTGGCACAGCCAGCTCCTGTGATTTTCCCTGAAATGCAGTGTTTATTTAGGGAGGGAAAAGGGGAGAAGTGTGCAGGGGAAGCTCTTCCTCAGCTAAGTTTTAGCCCTCATCATTGAGGGGGGAGAAAAAAACCAACCAAAAAACCCCAACACTCCCTGCTCATGCAACCCCTTAGCCTTTCTTTTCCAAGACTGGGCTAACAAGCAGAAAAAGCCCATCGTGCTTGAGAACCAGTTTCACAAGAGCGTGCAGTTGTACCTGGAGCCAACTGCACTGTGGCAGTCACCAGAATTGGTTTGGTAGGGCTGGCAGCAGGATGTTTTCTGTAGCGTGTGCTCTCCAGAAAACCCTGCGCCCTTTTTCAGGAACCCCAAAAAGCTGCTGTCAAAGGAGCAGATGGATGATCGAGACTTACCCTTCTTTTATATGTAGAATTAGGTTTGAAACACTCCTGTTTTACTAATTCCAATACACAGTATGGTACTATGGTTAAGCCACTGAGACACATCATCAGAAACAAATGTAATTGAGAGCTGTGTAGGTGGCTCTCAAATAACTTAGCTGTTTTCAGGATATGGAAGTCAATATGAGGCAGGCTTGCTGAATTGGGCTTCAGAGAATTACTGGTATCTGATTACCAAGATGATCAAAAGGGTTCCCCCTTCCTACACCACAAAGAGAGCAACAGGGGACACTCAGACTTGACACAGTTGCTTCTACAATTTTGCTGAAGTTTAAAATAACTTTATTTATTTTTTTAAATACCGGTCAAGGGGAGTTCCAAACACAATGGGTGAGTGACCCAGCATTAGCAGTTATTACTTCAAAATTAACAGCTCAGTACTGGTATTCTTCTTTAGAAAATTATTTCTGGAAAACACCACGAGTATAAAACCCCATCTGTGACACGATTCAACCTGCGGCTCTGAGAGCTTCTCAGATTTCATCTCTATTAAGAGCTGCCTGACCGCTGGCTCAGGTAAAGTCTAGAAAGGTTTTTAAAGCCTTTTTTCAGCCCTGGATCAAACGTGCCTTTGTTCAGTAGCATTTGCTTTCCTCCCGTTCAAAGCACCTGATGTGATCCCTTAAGCACTGCTTCCTCCAAGCTTTTGCTACTGCATGGAGTTACATCCAACAACAGAGACAGCGATGCAGAGGCAGCCCATGATTCAGCAGAGCATTAAAGGTCAACAGTGCACTAAACCAGTTAGTATGTGCTAAATAAACCTGAACATGCTGACAGGAATATAAGCACACGGTAAAAGGATTTGCTGAATCAATTGGTTATTACAGGAGAATAGCTGCACCAAAAGCAGAGTGGATGCTGCACGCAGCCAGCGAGATTTTATTGTATTTTAACATAAAGCAGCTATCATTTGGCAGCTTTTAACAATCACTTTTCACAGAGTCATGGTTGCCAACGCTAGTAGACCTGACACGGGAACGTGCACTCCATCTGCCCCTCTGCTGCAGATGTGACGCAAGACGTTCCAGCTGATTGTGCTCACTCGTGAAAGCAGTTGCTCGTCACCCAAAGCACTAAGGTTAGCCAGCCTGCGTACATACCCGCTTGGGAAACCTAACTACATCAGACAATGGCATATAGTTGAAGCTGAAAATGTGGTGGGTTTTTTTTTTTTTTGTTTGTTTGAAGGCTGATCTTCTATGGTGCTCTGTACAGTTTATCTGAAGACTTAAAATGTGGCAGTTCGGGATATATGTAGGATTGCGGCAGGAAAGGGAGAGAAGTTTGGTGCTCCAAACTGGACACAAGCGGTTTTTCAGTAGTAACTTTCCCTAACTGGTCACAGTACCACAGGACACAAAAGTCCTGTTCCCATTTCATGGTACAATGCTGATAAAGAACACCAAACCTCGAGGTACACGGGACCCTCTTCACCTGAACTGCTTGGAGGTGACATAATGGGACTGCTTTCAACCACTGTCACAACCTTACCAACGTGTTCTGGTCCATCTTTACAGAGTCCAACATAACTATACCAACATTTCCAGAGCTTGCAAAGCATTCCCACCAGCTTCCAGCTCTAAGAGACAGAAAGCAAAAATAGTCTGACTTACGGTGATGCTTTCACACCACTTCACATATTCTGCTTTGCACAAACATGGGTTTTGCTCAGCTAGCCAGCTGAGAGATAGTGTCAGGGAATCTTAATGCAATCAGGGAATTCCTTAATGTTTTGCGTATATTGAGAAGCAGGAAAACACAAAACAGTTAACAGTCACACAGGTGTTTAAATCTCTCGAAATTTACAGACTACTTTAAAAAATACTTCCCAATACCATTAGAAACTGTGTTGAGTGCTGATGTTCTCTATCAGGACAGGAATTTACCGGCTACGGTATACAGAACATGCAAAAAGTCCAAACAAAATGACACACATCATATTTTAGCTGCCCTTGTCATCTACCTCAAAGGGGCAGTCTTGCTTCCTATCAAGTTTTGGAAGTGAAGCAAATGGATTCCCATCCACAAAAAAAAAAAAAAAGATACAAGCTGCACACGTGGCTACTCACAAAAAGTCCTTTGGGCACAGCTAGCTGCTTTATTTACTATTTATGCAGAACCTACAAAGGAGCAAAAGAAAGAAGGGGGAAGATGCCAGGCAAAACAAACAGTTCATCCTGAAGGCAGAAGACATATGCATGCTATTGGAAAGGAATTGGTCCACCGTATGGAAAGGTGTGGGCATTCATGAGTAACACAGTGACTGTGGTACAGTCATAACCATTTTTAATATTATTTCTTTTTTTAAGTTTGGTAGCTATCCAGTTTAGGAACCGAACGAGACATTGGCTTATTAATCTGAAGCCACAACTATCAGCCTACACTTAGGACAGCAATCAAAGGACATTTGCCCTTCTGAGCAGAAGTCAACTGACTTGAAGTGTTTTCTCGAACAAAGCCCTATGGCATAACTGAGAAACCACACACCTACCTCTTCCACACACCATCTGCGCTCGAAATGTCTCAAGGGCAGACACACATTGTGGATACTTTGATAACACTGAAGTCACTTTCTATATGAATAGTAGCAAGTCAAAATTAACTTTTGATTCACTGGTTAGGATATTAGTAGTCAAAGTTTAACTGTACTAGAAAGGTTTTCCTACTGATTAAGCATTAAAATTATTTCAACTACTACACCAATCAATATAGCTCTATTACCAGCTATTTCACAAGAACAGCATAGGACCACATCGGCGTTTCTAAGTTTATACATTTTCCAGATCTTTCATCACACCAGGGTATGGGCAGAGGCAATGTTACATGAGAGGTAGGTGACATGCTCAGAAAAAGTGCTTCTTATTTTGGCAAATTTCAGCACAAACACATTCTTCTCTAAGTTATGCACAGTACCCATCACTGAAGGGGGATATAAAAATATAATTATTTTTAATATTAATTTTCCCCAAGAACTATCAGAAAATGCTCATGCAAGATTTTTTTAAGATGCAAGATTTGAATGCTGGACTTAGATGCAACACAAAGCAATAATGGGCATTTTAAAGCACCCCAAAATTGTATTTTTTTTAAACTTCTAAAACCTTTTTTTGTTTGTTTTGTGCTTTCTTCCTCAACAGTGATTAACACGTATAAAGGAAAACATGAGATTCTGATCTCCAAGTCTTGCCAAGGAAAAGAGGGGAGTAACTTACAATTTAATTTATGTTGGAACTGTTAACTTCTTGTTATCTTTTTTTATTTTACAAGCTACAGCACTCAGACTGTCAAAAGCTGTTGGCTTTATGGTTATCGATTCTGTGGAAATGAAATAAATTTAACCTAACGTTCACTGTACTGATGTTCCTACACCTGTGCTCAGATCTACTGGGCCAAAAGCTCAAAGAAAAGGCAAGCAGATGTTGGGGTATTTAACTTGTGGGAGTTCTATGCTGCTGCCAAAAGTAGAGAGCCTGTAGTTTGTTCCAGTTAGGAATAAAGTCCGTTGACAAAACCAGAATATTTCTTTAGTCCTTACTTCCTGTTTGTTAAGGAAAAAATCAAAACATAATACTCCACAAAAAAGATCCCATGATTTTGGCAACGCTTTTTGCAACAAGTCAGAGATCATTTGTCTGTAGGTTGTGGAAGTGAGCATCTTTCAAAATTAAACCCTTGAAAAAATATTCCCTGGGAATGTACTGGGCTGCTTAGGCTCTCCTGGCACGTCCTTCTGCCTGGGTCCTCTCCCCTGTCTAGCTCAGCGTCACCCACAACACCCACTGAAGCCTTCCACCCCAAGGGCTGCCCAGTGGTCTTTGTTTTGCTCAGTGGTCTGGAGATCACTATCATTTCTTAAAGCAGTCGGTTTCTTTGTAACTACCCTAAATCACGGTGTGGTGACACCCACCAGTTTCAGCCAACAAAAACACTGCCCCTCCACCCCCCCCCAAATCAACAGGAGCAAGTTTTGGTCCAAGTGATGGAAAATCCTGGACTGCAAAACCTGCGTCCTACTCACCGACTGACCAACCCCCCCTGGAAAAGGCACTCGGCCTGTGCACGCCACTCTCCGCAAACTCTTTGTATCGTGCGCCGAGGCAGGTTCTCTCACTACAGGTTTGTACAAGAAGTCACTGTCAGAAATAAGGTGTAACAGTCCTCCGAGCAAACAGCCATTTGCCTCAGATCATCCTCTTCATTATTTTTACCACAGCAGGACTGAGATGGCCCAACCATACTTGCTGTTAAAAGTTCATCCCCACAAGTTTCTTGTCACTTGATAGGAAATTACAGTACCAAAGCTTTTATGCAAACATCAGATTGGCTGGGTCATTTTCTGCTCCGAGGAGCAAAAAATGTTGTTGTCGAGAGAAGTACCTGCTTCACTGCAGAGCTCTTTGCAGTGTCCAGGGCCCAACGAGCAGGTTTGGAAGCGCAAGCTCAACTCGAGAACTGGACGACTGCTTTTTCTGCACGTGACTGGCAACCAAATAAAAGCTCTCAACAAAGCATCTTTGCATGTACCCAGAGGTGATCAAAGTCCAAGTGGATGCATTCAGAGAATCAGTCAGGCAAAAAACAAGAGACAAAGACACCCTCCTCAGTCAAGAAATAAATGGGATCTGAAATCGGAAAATGGCTAATGCTATTTATTCCACTACCCCATGCCCTAAACAACCCTCCACCACACTCCAATTTATCTCCTTCCCCCCCCTTCCCCCCTTCCTTCCACTGCTTAGCTTGGCCTCTCCTGCCCTAAATGATTAATGCCTGAAATCCACACACATTTATGCCTTGCAGTGAGTTTATTTTTGTCTTGGCTGTAGCTAGCCCCACAAAGCCACTTCTGTCTGGGTTCAATTTAAATTAAGATGCAACAGAGCTAATTAAGTCTGCTAGCTGGGATATCAGAAGGAACCTAACCACATGAATACAGAACTCTCCTTCCAGACTCGTTTTCCATGGGGAAAGGCACAGGCACCCTGCTACAATGTGCGGAGCAGATGTCCTCCGAGGCACGCAGCCTTTAACAACAGTCGCCTAGATTGCCCTGCACAGCATGAAAGACTGTAGTGTTATGACTAGAATTAAGTTGGGCAATACAAGGCCAACCAAACCCATTTTTCTAAAGCCAGCCTGGAAGTCATGCTGGTGGAACACAGCTCAGGGGTCTCAGTCATTTTGAGAATTACTTTGTCACCAATGAAAAAAAAAAATATCTTCCCAGCAATATTTGGTCATCAAAGGATATTAATAGATGTTGATATTCTCATAACAGATGACCTCCTTTGAGTACTCAACTAACCACTGAAAAACATTACTCAGGCAAACCGAGCCAGCGTAGGCACCCCGCTAGCGGGCCTGCCCCCACAGTACAGCGCAGCCCACATGGAACCCATGAATAAGGAACCTACGTACACCGCGTGGGCTGCAATTCTGGTAGGAAAGTCGAGGCATTTAGCACTTCACCCTTTATTTTCTGCCTGTGCCAATCTGCAAGTAATTTAGGTGACTTACCCCACCTCACCAAGCAAAAGGAAGAATTATAACCTGGTTTAGCTCCACTGGCAATGGGTGGAGATTTAAGTATTCAAACCAATCATTTACTGTCCTTGTCTGTATTAAATGACTCCTCCTTACCCAGACTTGCAAGTAAATAAGATTAAGATTTCAACTACGGAAGGGAGAATTAAAAGCTATCGAGGTTCTGATCCTAGTGCCACAATTTGTTTGGTGTCTCCCCCCCCGCCCCGTGAGAGATTTGAGTTCTGGCACAATACAACAACTTAGCGCAGGCAGCAGAAACCGTGGGCTACTATTTTACCCTTGAAGCTTTCTTTCTCATTCTGGAATTGAAATCTGATTGTTAGATGGAAAACAGAAAACCCTCACGCTAACCACAGCTCCAAAGCCTGTGAGTGTGGCTTTGAGACCATTTCCTACAGTCAGCAGAACTGGCTCCCGACAGGCAGAATACTTTGGTGATAACAGCAGTTCCTACCTGACTCCACTTCTATGCTTGTAACAGTAACATAGATATGGCCAGGGCATCCTCAGGCCCTTCCTGAGTTCAGCCCTAGAAATCTTGCAGGGTTGGCGTTATGCCTGCACCGACCTGTGGCAGAAGTCAGGCCGACACTGAGAAGAACCAGGTAGCTTTGCCCAAAGCTAAACACAGGCCCCGAGTGGAAATTCCACACACAGAACAGAAACTTACTAGTAAAACATTTCAAGAAATTTAACAATGAAAAAAAAAAAAAATCCACTGCAGTTGCAGATGTTCAGAAGCCTCTAAAGCAACGAGAACCATTTACAAGTCAAGAATGAAGAAACCAGACTGGCTTGTTTTCAGTGTTTCTGTCTACATTGCCAAATAACTTTGCTCTTCAGCCCCGGGTGCCCCAGCTGGTCCTGCATTGCCTGGGACTGCACATCACTGCTTGCATTCTGGGCTCTCTTTCCGTGTGAGTCAACTCATTTTTATAACATAAAACTCTGCCATGGGGTAACTTGCTACTTCAACAGGTTTAAATGGAGGCAGTAATTAGAGGAAGCTGCTCTATACTGCAAGGAAACAGAGAAAATGCACATGGCCCCTGCACAAAGGGGACAAATTCAGGAGGCGATTCCATGCCTATGCCACCCACCCACAGAGTGGGCTTCAAAATATGTAACACCCTTTTCTAAGGTTGGGGGGGGAAAAAAAAAAAACAACCAAGCCTCAAACCCCACACTAATACAGGTATCTCAGGGCCAGGCTAAGGGTACAGACATGGCCAGTCCATGACAGAGGGGGTCTCACCCCAAGTAATGTGACCATGAGTCACTCCACGCCCCGGCGCTGGGAAACCAGGGCCAGAAGCTTCTCTCCACAGCTAAACTGCTGAAGTCTACGCTCAGTCTTGGGCTTTGGTGTTCCTGTTGTACAGCAGTGCTTAGGTACTTGGAAAGACCATCCCAGAATAGGAGTAAAAACAGACATGGAAGTGCAGAACAGAAGCAAAAAAGCAAGAAGGTATTTTTTTTTTCCAGTTTGAAAAAGAAATTAAAAAACCCCAAATAAAACAGGGATGGCATTTCAAAGAAAACTTCATGCGAGAGCCCCAGCACTCGCATCTGATGTACAGTAAGCTGCAAAAGAATTATTTATAAAGCCCAATGACACAGCTTCTTCTATTGCTGAAGCGACAAAGTAAGATAAGCCGTTTCCTTTGACAGCTTTACTGTCTGCCTTCGGCATTCAAACTTTTGATGTCTGGAGTTTAAGGCGAAAGATTTTTAGATTCCATTTTCCTTCCAGGATGTTATCACATGAAAAGAAATAACCAAAGTTGAAAAGTTCAGACCTGTCAATTCTCCCTTTGTGAAACTGTTGGGCATAGTTAGCTGGAATAGCATGTTTACCTGCCAACGTGAGCGCAAGACGCTTCCCACAAACTTCAAGACAAGAAAAGCTGAAGAAAGTGCAACTAGCCCCTAACCAGGGCATTGCACGGATGTGCGCTCACTGTTTCTCACCTACTGCAGACCAAAAAGACACCCTTGATCTCCACTGCAAACTCAAGCGAAGCAAAGCCCTCTTTTATCAATATTTCAGCAGAAACCCTGAACACTTCACCCACAACCTGAAAGTAGAAGGAATCCAGTTACGTGAATCATGGTGATATCGTCTCTTTAGCAATAAAGATAATAATGTGTGAAGTTTCACCAGCAAAGGGAGTGAAGCTTGCAGGCTGTACAAAGATGTTATTTATCACCATATTCTTATCTACAGCCACACCACAGAAGTGCAGCTATTAACTGTAGATCCAGCACAGGAACAGAGGACTTGCTGTCAGCAACCTGCTGGCAGTTAAGATGAAACACTGCAGTCTGTGGTGCTCTCCAGCTAATCAGCCTGATGCCGATCACCACCTGGATGGCTTCTCGGGAAGAAAACTCCAGATTTTGCAGAGGTTACATTGGGGAATTAATGCTTCCCACCCATCTGGAAGAAACCAGTACTTTGCTACAGCTTGTCATTCTAGTGCAAAGTGGGGATTCTGTCTACCCAAATTGAACCTGCATGGCGAAGCAGGAAACACAAGAGGCAGTTTCTAGGAAGTAAGTGAAGAATCTGTTGCGATGCACTGTTGGCACAACAAACTGCCACAATTCACCACGGAAGGAGGTAGACACTTCAGTTAAAGGTAAGTGGTATCTAGAGACAAGTGATGAAGTAAGGATACGAGTCAGACAGTCAACTTGATTACAGCCAAGCTGTAAATAATTCACAGTCAGCAAAACTGAAAAACTTCCTTCAGGAGCCAGCCTGCACCCCCTCACCAACCTTAACATCTGCTGTTAAGGTCCATTTCAGTGTTTGCAAGATGAACTGAACCAAACATTACCTTCCACCCAGTCTTCCGCCTGCTGCGCTCTCCTCTGGGCCATCATCCGGTTTCCCATGTTCCTCCGGCGCCTCGGCATCCCATCTCCCCGCTCTTCAGCGTGTGGCCGAGGCCTGGCCACTGCTGCCGCCGCCACATTTTGCTGGTGTTCCTCATCAGCTGCAAAAGGGAAACATAACCGATGAGAGATTCGCCATCTCTGCTTGCTGCAGTTGTCCAACTTCTGCGATCAGAAGTGCAGTACCAGTGCTGTTTTCCAAATCACAGAATGCCTCCCCACGCTCATGTGGTTTTTTTCCTGCACGGCAGACATAGGCAAATTGCTTTCCTATGATTAAGCAGGATCATGCACTGCAACCTTCTTATTTGTGCACAGGGCTCTGTGCAAGGGAAGTTTTATCCTGACAGCAGTCTCTTTTAAAACAGCATATAGATCAATGTAAAGAAAAAACATAGCTACATGCAAAAAATGTTCTTAATCTAAACTGATAACCTGTTTTTCTCTTCTGCCAGAAAACAATTCTCTTTATCTGGCAGGACTAGCAGTCCAATAATTTCTGAGTTACCAAAAGGCAAGGACCCAGAATTATTTTTCTTCCTTTCTAAAGTATTCCAGTTTTTAATTTTTTTTTTAATTTTTATTTTGCACTTGTGTAACTTAGAAGTAGATTCATCTGAATTCAAACCTCAGAGCATGCATGTTTCCGAATGGAATATGTAAGTCATTATACCCAAACCAAAACCTGAGGAGCAAATAAGGACTACAAATCACAGCCATAGTACACACAGAGTAACTTCGTTCTACCACGCTGCTTTAAACTGCAAGTCTCTCGACACACACATGTGGGGGAAGACAGAACACCAAAGGTCACTGCAGCTCTCAGTGCCACCCTCTCTACATATGCTGAAGTTACTAATTAAGATCTGACAAATGAGGGATGTCATAACAGAGGGGCAGCTGGGAGAGAGCATGGGAGCAAGCGACTGACCAGCAGGCTCATTTCAGAAGTTCTCCACAGAAAAGACTCTGCCAGGTTTTTCTTTGAGACCTCCATGATCCTGTTGCTATCAACTATGGGTAGTCATGCCAAAATACAATCAGATAATGGCAAAATAGCATCATCCTTGATACCTGCTTTGCATATTCTGTTGATAAGCATAACTGATATTTCTGTACGTTGTTACTTGCTCAATCTTGCAAAGTATTAACTACTATGCCTTAATTGAGGTAAATACTCAAATGGTCTCACAGAATGCTGTAGAACTACTCATTTACTTAAACTCAGGACACTTTTTTTGCACCTTGCTGGATTATACGGTGTCCCAGCAAGAGCACAAAATGCTCTCCACACTCCGCCAAGTATCCAGCATCCTCTCATCCAAACAACACCTTCCTAAACAAACTACTTTTAGCATATCTGCGATCAGAAAGCAAGATTCATTACAATGACAGTCAAAGGTGTGCTTGTAGCTCATCTCAGTATATCTTAAGCAGCTTTAAAGCAGCTAACTTTGGTACTGCTAACAAGAGAGCTGCAGCAGCACTGAGGTCGGCACAGGCCGCAAAGCAGAGTAATCCGGGGAAGTATTTTGCCAGCAAATGCACTGGAAGTTCAGGATTGCTGCAACAATGATGTCAGCAAACCCCAGCACTAATGCACCGTGACATTGCAAATTGAGTCACTGCACTATCACACCACTGTCACCCTCTTGCCCTCATCCACTTTATCTGCGGACCAAAAGAGGTCTGTAACAAATTACAGAGCGTAGACTCCGGGGATCCGATCATTTTGCCTCAGGACTTGTCCGGTCTTATTTGTAGCATGATAATGCTTATTTTGAAAGCATTACAGAGGTGACAGAGCCCTGGCCCAGGCTGCCCAGGGGGGCTGTGGAGTCTCCTTCTCTGGAGATATTCAACCCCCGCCTGGATGCTGTCCTGTGCCCCCTGCTCTGGGTGAGCCTGCTTGAGCAGGGGGGTGGCACTGGGTGAGCTCCAGAGGGCCCTGCCAACCCCTGCCAGTCTGGGATTCTGTGATTCATTATACTGCAAAGGCAGAGCAGCAGATCACTTACTGGGACACTACTAAATGCCAGAAGTACTTAGTCTGCAAAAAGACTTTCTATACAACTGCAATATTTCTCTTAATAAGCTCGAGAGACACTGCAGTTGTGTGTCCTTGGCATCCTTTCACCTGAAAGCTTCACTGTGTCTGTCTCAGTAACTCCCAAAGGTGGTCCCACACAGCGGATCAGCTGCGTAGTTCTAGCGCTCATTCATTCTGGGGCTTAGTTTTGGTTCCCATTGTCCTGCGAAACAGAGACTGTTTTGCATTTTGTGAAAGAGGAATCTATTTATAAGCCACGTATTCATTTCAAACTGAGGTGCTTAGCCCTCAGAGACAAACGCGTGAACGAAGCTATCCTGTTTTCTCAAGTTAACTCTCTACAGGCGACACAGTAATTCCTCAGTTGACCAGCATTAACAGGGCTCAGAAAGTAGTAAAAACCCCAATGAACCTGACCCATCTCATGGTCAAACACACAAGGCAGCTGTTGGACAACTTCGGTCAGATCTCCAAAACATTCAAACAACTGAAGACACCTAGACACTACAGACTGCCATTTAGTAGGAAAAGATTGCTTTAATACAGCTTTTTTCCTTCCCCCGTAGCTTCTGTGTGCAAGGCATTCAGCTGGACAGTCATTTGAAAATCGTGACTGTTAGTCCTTGCATTTCTTCCCACACTTTGTGAGGGGGAGGAGAAAAGAATCATTTACTCCGCCTGTAACAAACACACCTGTCTGGTTCCTCAGGGGTCAACAATTTATCTACGTGGCTCGAGACACATAATTTAGTCCAGTATCTGGGAAGTTAGAGGTGCTCTCTCTCCCTCTGAGCTGGGAAGTATCATAGATTGACTAAAGCTGCACACAGAGGTGTGGGACTGGTGGTGTCAAAGCAGTCAGATACACTTAAAATACAGATACACTTAAGATACACTTAAAAACCCTCTAATTTTCTCCAGGGTCTGGCCCCCGTGGTTTTTTTTCCCCCCACCTCCTCCTGCAGCACAGGGCGTGGTTTGGCCACTGCACTTATCTGAATACATCTCTTCATTTTCCTGTAGCTGCAGAGGTCTCAGACATAAGTGGCACCCCAGGCTAGCCAGTTCATGCAGAGATTAGTCACAGGACTAATTAGACTTGATATAGAGCCATCCAAGTGAAAACTTAATGACCAACATTATATAGGTGAGGCAAGTTGACCCATGAGTTGCTCGATGGCTTGCAGAATGGCAGGCGGGAGGAAATGAATTCGATAAAGCCCTCAAATCAACAGGCAATCCAAACAAAAAAGTAAACAGATGTCTGGAAAATGGACACAGGTTTAGTTTGCATTTTAAGCTGTATGTTCTCCAGTTTCTGACTCAGCCTTTCAAAAATCCAGACAATACCTGTTTTCTGGGGACAGCGGGTTTACTGCCAGGCTGAGAAAGCAGCTCTGCCTCTGCATTTTCAGAAACATCAGCACAGTGCAGAGGCAGCCATGGGGATTATTTCATCTGACTCGTCAGCCAGCGCACAGCAGCGACTGTGAGGCTCTGGTTGTGCTATGTCCTTCCCAAAGAGGAAGAAAGCAGAACACTGCTCTGAAAGCAGAGCTTTTCCCTA